CAGTGACAGGTTGAATTTTAAACCACGACGGTTCAAAATCCGGTATCACAACAAACATATCCTGAAAATTTCAGCTAAATCGGTTCAGTAGTTTCCGAGTCTATAGAGACCAAACAAACACACAAACATTGATTTTTATATATATATATATTATATATACTATATATATATATAATATATATATATATATATATATATATATTTGTCGTTCTCACCACGGTCTGCCTGAAAGAAACTCGGTCCCCCGCCAGCTCTCCCACCTCGCGTACTCTCATACTCAAGGAGTCACTTATTTCCTGTGCCCATCTTCGTGTTGGTCGGCCCCTGCCCCTCCTTCCTTGTACCATGCCTTCTGCTATAATTATTTTTTTCCCAATCCACCATGGAACTTGATCTGACCAAAATGTTTCAAACTCCGAGACAAAATGCTGTTTTTAGCCAATCTTCCTTGATGTTCAAACTCCGAGACAAAATGCTGTTTTTTAGCCAATCTTCCTTGATGTTCAAACTCCGAGACAAAATGCTGTTTTTAGCCAATCTTCCTTGATGTTCAAACTCCAAGACAAAATGCTGTTTTTTAGCCAATCTTCCTTGATGTTCAAACTCCGAGACAAAATGCTGTTTTTAGCCAATCTTCCTTGATGTTTAAATGTTTAAAAATATAAATAGTCCTTCTTTTCATTGTCCATGGTATTCTGAGAACCTTTCTTTAAAATAGCCTAACCTTTTTTTGTGGAGATGGCGGAACGTAAATTCACAATTTCAGTTTACAGATACTTCACAGCGAGGTGTGAAATGTGACGTGAATTGATCGGAACTACTCTCTGGCGTTGGTTGCCGGTCAAACTAAGACCTGATAACACTCAGCTGAAGACACAGTAGAGGTGTTGAAGTGTTCCGGTCAAACTGGTGTTAATCCCAATCTTTGTCTAGATAACGCGGATTTGTAGGTATGGCTACTGGATTTTGTATGTTGACGTTGAATACCCTCTATGGGTAGTCAATATCTCCTACCCTACTCAGTGTGTTCAGCGTTGCGAACTAGTTTCGTAATGCAGAGTTTCTAGTATCAATCGTAACTGTAGGCGATTTTGAAGCAGACTGTTTTGCGTTGGCTTCAACCATGGTATCGAACGTCGATTGTTCAGTTTGGCAATGGCAGACAACTGAATGTAAAATTGCCTTGTGAAATCACAAACGCAAACAGTTTGCTAGCATTGGTTCTGCAACGCACTGAAAAGTAGACGCAAAAAACCTGTTTTATAAAAACAAAGTAAATTGGTGGGTGTGTTTCAAAGCAAATCATAATTATAAAGATGATAATAATGATTGTGATGCTGACTTTGACATCCAAACCTGAAGGTTTATACCTCTTTAGCTAATACATACTTATGGTCTGTTTTATGAGTACCAAGTTTATAGGCTGAGAATAGAGTATGTATGCCATGTTGATAGCTTTGTGTCTGTAAACAGGATACCCTGTCCCCTCCTATCTTCCTGCGTCCCACTGGGGTCGGTCTATTTTCCTTGACGTTCTGATGGGTTTGCCTCCTTTACCTTGACTGTCTTAGGTATACTTAATTCTGCTGCCCGGTTGTGTCTCCCTTGTGTGTTTTGCGCGTTTGTCCTGGTAATGTGGTCATGGGTCCGTTCAGTCCTGCTACTGATCGTTACTGCTATCAGACGTACCTCGCATCAGGTCCAACTGTCGCACCTCACTGCTTCGCTGCCCCCACGTATTGTTTGAAAACACTGAGTATTTTAATTGCCAAAAGTACTGAAATCAATTTTTGGTATTGGATCATTTCTCGTTTAGGTTATTTGTTTGCAGACTATTTCTACCTTTTTAGACAGATGCACTTCAACTTCAAAACAAACACGCGTAATTAGTCGGCTTCTACGACATGCTTGTTGCAGAAAGAAAAAGGGGGGGGGGGTCAATTTTTTTTAAACGGTAATCGGGAACCGATCGATTGTCACTACAGATAAATTGTAATAAACAAACTTCTCCTTCTTCTTCTTCGCGTTCACAGGCTGTAAACTATAGCGGAAAGTTCTGGTTGTTCGTTCACTACTGGATTCTAGTCCTATTCCTGAAACTGAGTGTTGCGTGCACATCTGTTTCACATGTCATTTTTGCAAGCAGACCGTTGGTTCCTTGCCTCTCAGACAGATGTACTCCGACATTAAAAGAAGCTCTCAATTAGTCGACTCTTACGACATACTTCGGGGCAGGCAGTGGGTGGGTCTGTTCTTGTTTTTCCCACAATGGGAACCCGGAACCCACACGGGGAATAAATAAACTATTCCAATGGAGGCACCAGAGGATCTTAAACTGAAGTGGCTGTTGAAAATTACCAGTGCCAATTATCGGCCTCCCACTGCGACCGTTTGGGCCTTAAATACTGTCCTTAAATACTGGCCGGCCGTTAGAGGTGAATTAGTTAGTGAATGATAACCCAAGAAAGAGGACATCTAGATTTAAAAGAGCATAAAGTATCTTAAGCGTTTACAGTAACACACACACACACGCATACACACACACATTCAAACACAAAGATCAACACTGAGAGAAAGGGAGTAGTCGGGGCAGGAGGCGGGGGAGGGGAGGTATTGACCACACACAAAAAGAGTCAGGATAAATAGGAAATAGAGCGAAGGCAAGGGGAAAGGAAGGACAACAGGAATAAAGAGAAGAAAGAAGGAAGCAAAGGCACTGGGATAGAAACTGAAAGAAGGGACAGGGAAGGGGGGGGGGGTAGAGGAAAAGCAGCAGCAGTAATGGAAGTAGTAGTAGTAGTAGTAGTAGTAGTAGTAGTAGTAGTAGTAGTAGTAGTAGTAGTAGTAGTAGTAGTAGTAGTAGTAGTAGTAGTAGTAGTAGTGGTGGTGGTGGTAGTAGTAGTAGTAGTAGCAGTAGTAGTAGTAGTAGTAGTAGTAGTAGTAGTAGCAGTAGTAATAGTAGTAGTAGTAGCAGTGGTGGTGGTAGTAGTAGTAGTAGTAGTAGTAGTAGTAGTAGTAGTAGTAGTAGCAGCAGCAGCAGCAGTAGCAGCAAGCAGCAGTACAGGACACTAGTAGTAGTACAGTCAGCAGTAGTAGTAAATTAGTAGTAGCAGCAGCAGCATCAGCAGCAGTTTTAATAGTAAGTAGTAGTCTTAGTAGTAGTAGTAATAGTAGTAGTAGTAGTAGTAGTAGTAGTAGTAGTAGTAGTAGTAGTAGTAGTAGTAGTAGTAGTAGTAGTAGTAGTAGTAGCAGTTGTAGTAGTAAGTATTAGTCGTAGTAGTAGTAGTAGTAGTAGTAGTCGTAGTAGTAGTAGTAGTAGTAGTAGTAGTAGTAGTAGTAGTAGTAGTAGTAGTAGTAGTAGTAGTAGTAGTAGTAGTAGTAGTAGCAGCTGCAGTAGTAGTAGCAGTAGTAGTAGTAAGCAATAACAACAACAATAACAACAAAATCAGCTGGAAAGGAAACCAACAGAAGAACGCACAGAAAAGAAACAAGAATGGTATTATCCCAAGTTCTTATTCTTCCATCCCCTAGTGGAGCATAGGCCCTCAACTAACTCTCGTCAGGTCATTTTATCATTTGCTATTGAATGCACCCCAGTTACATTGTGGGGAAGAAACCAACCATCTCCTATAAAACAGCATAAGAACGACCGGTGCTTTCTTAATATCCTACCCCAGGGGAAATTCACAGGTCTCGGGACAGTTTAATATTTCAGGGGGTGGTAAAACGCAGTCGTGAAGACCTAGGCTCCATGCATTTGTGAGACCTAAGCTGCACACTTTCGTGGTGACAAAGGTGGTTGGGGTTAGGGCCAGTTCTGGATGTTTTGGGATCGGTTAAAGCATCAGAAAGCCGGGAAACCCAGTCTTACCACCCTCTAAAATGTTGGACTGTCCTGTGACGTCATCAGGTGGAGGATATTATTAAAGAACCGTACGGCGACCTTTGTATAGGTCATCTCCACGATTTAGTTACCTACACATCATCCTTATTTCCCCAGCGTCATTAACGCTAGTTAGCTGTTCTTTGCTTCTGATTAATTACAGTAATTTACAGCAACCTGCCGTGGCTTTGATGCCGTTGAAAACCCAAAGGTATGATACAAGATCGGTGCGACCACCCACTGCAGTTGTTGTGTATGTCGCCGAGGCTGCGGTTTGTCTGATCTTCCCTGGTAAAGTCGACTTCACGACAATCTGGCAATCAGGACATTGTTGTTGGCGGGCTAAATAATGCCATCACGTGACCCCAAGCAGAGAGGGGTCCCAGCATGACGTCACAATTACTTATTTGGACAAATGGAGGAACCACGTCATTTGGGTCGAATGTTGGTTGAATAGTGTCCGTTGAGTGGCCATTGTCGTCAGGGTTTTTTATGAAGTGAGGTCGAGAGAACAATGACCCCTAGCGATCCAGGGGGGCAGTAGATTGTGAAATGTATGTAACTACTTCCACGAGTGGATATTTTAAAATATTCGACAGGTGTGGGAAATATCTGATACACAGGTGGAAAAACATGTGGCCAGGGATATGTTCATGTGTGTGAAATGTGTGTGTGTATGTGTCTGTGTGAGTATGTGTGTGTCCGTCTGTAGGTGTGTGTCTGTGTATTGTATGTGTGTGTGTGTGTGTGTGTGTGTGTGTGTGTGTGTGGACATGGGGTGGAAGCTTAAATTGTTAGGGAAGGGTGAGACACATCGAATGTAGACATTATATCCTTCTGGTTGTCTTCACATAATAGCGGATCACCAGAATCACTGAGCAGTTCTGTGTTCTTGTGCTGCGCATACCATAGCAAATACATGCGCATTCATCTGCGTGTTTGGGATTTGCTTTTTTTTTCCTATCAAATTTTCTATTATGCAATCTGTATCTATCAAGTGAGATGGGGAAAAAGAGATTGGACAATTTCCCTCTCATTTATCTCTTGGAGGATTGCAGCATTTGATTTTTATTTTTGCCTGCAAAGGATATTATTTCTTTCAAGGGCCTCACGGGTAATGGCAGGAGACTTTCATGTTATATTAGGGAACTCTAAGATTATATCAGGGAACTCACAGGATTTATCAGGGAACTCGCATGTTAAAACAGGAAAGTCTCAGTTTATATCAGGGAACGCTCAGGTTATATCAGGGAACTCGCGGGTCTCAGTTTATATCAGGTAACTCTCAGGTATATCAAGGAAGTCTCAGGTTATATCAGGGAACTCTCAGGTTATATCAGAGAATTCTCAGGTTATATCAGGGAGCTCTCAGGTTATATCAGGGAACTCTCAGGTTTTATCAGAGAACTCTCATGTTATATCAGGGAACTATTAGTTTAAATCAGGGAAATCTCGGGTTATATCAGGGAACTCTCATGTTAAATCATGGAACTCTCAGGTTATATTAGGGAACTCTCAGTTTATATTAGGGAGCGCTCAGGTTATATCGGGGAACTCGCCTGTTAAATCATGGAACTCTCAGTTTATATCAGGGAACTCTCAAGTTATATCAGAGAATTCTCAGATTATATCAGGGACCTCTTAGGTTATATCAGGGAACTCTCCGGTTACATCAGGGAACTCTGAGGGTATATCAGGAAACTCTAATTTTAAATCAGGAAACTCTCAGGTTATATCAGGAAACTCTGAGGTTATATCTGGGAACTATGAGGTTATATCAGGGAACTATGAGGTTATATCGGGGAACTCTGGGGTTATTTAAGTGAACTCTGAGGTTATATCAGGGAACTCTGAGGTTATATCATGGAACTCTCATGTTATATCAAGGAGCTCTCAGGTTATATCAGGGAACTCTCAGGTTATACCGGGGAACTTTCAGGTTGTATCGCGGAACTCTCAGGTTATACCGGGGAACTTTCAGGTTATATTGCGGAACTCTCAGGTTATATCAAGGAACCCTCAGGTTATATCATGGAACTCTCAGTTTATTTCAGGGAACTCTTAGGTTATATCAGGGAACTCTCAGGTTAAATCAGGGATCTCTCAGGTTACGCCACAGCTTATATCAGTGACTCGCATGACTAATCATGAAACTTAGAGGTTATATCTAGGAACGTGGGGGTTAATTCAGGAAAATTGGGGTTTATGTTACAGAGCTCGGAGGTTCTATCAGGGAACTCTCAGGTTAAATCAGGGAACTCTCAGGTTATATCAGGGAACTGTCAGGTTATATCAGGGAACTCACTTATTAAGTGTATTTTTTTTAGGGAACGTGTGTTCTTGTATACTCAAGTTTATTTTGCCTCTTTCTTCTATCTACAGACAGCAGTAGAACAGAGGCCTCCAGCCTACGTACGTAAAGATCATCTATCCTTGGCGGCTTCTTGAAGTTCATTACAATCAGAAATGAAATTACTGTCTTTAAATATATTTCCTTATAGTAGTACCAGTAGCAGTCGTAGCAGCAGTAGTAGTATTAGTAGTAGAAGTAGTAGCAGCAGCAGCAACTGTAGTAGTAGTAGTAGCAGTAGCAGTAGTAGTAGTACCAGCAGTAGCAGTAGTGGTAGTAGTAGTAGTAGTAGTAGTAGTAGTAGTAGTAGTAGTAGTAGTAGTAGTAATAGTAGTAGTCCCCCCCCCCCCCCCAGTAGTAGCATCAGCAGTAGTAGTATGTAGTAGTAGTAGTAGTAGTGTAGTAGTAGTAGTATCTTAGTAGTAGTAGTAGTTTTAGTAGTAGTGTAAGTCAGTAGCATCTAGTATAATAGTATGTGTGTGCCCCCCCTCTCCCGTTTCCCACTTTTTATGAGTTCACGGATCCACACGAAGAGGTCTTCCATGAAAACCTTTTCAATTTTGAATATATCTATATAAATATGTGTGTGTGTGAACAGGACAGTAAAAACAACGACAAACCAACAGTTCATTTACTATAGACAACCCACTTCTGTATACATTAATCACCAACGCACTTAATGAATAATGCATTACTATGTGCGTAATTTGTAATATAATTATTATTATTTGCCTGGAATATTTGGTTATTTTATTTGCGCTCATATTTTATGCGTGTACTGTTATATTCTTTGGTCATAATACCCCTACTGCGTTGGCAAGATCAATTTTCTCAGCGTGAGAACCCAAGTTTTAGAAAATTCTCATTTTTCCAACAGTGCTTGACAGTTTTCAAACATCCGTGCGTGGCAAGCTGTCTTTCGAGCGGGTCTCTGCATTTCCCCCACTCCCACTCGGTTTGACCATACGTCGTCCATTGTACGCCCAGACACGGTCAGTATTCCGAGAACTACCAGACTTTACCCGCCCTCTTTAGCGTTTTCAGGGAGACTTGACATATCATCTCTTGTCGCTCAACTGAAGAGACTAACCAATAGGGTTGCGTTGTTAAGTGTCATTGTTGACCTTTTACTGTTGCGACTAATCAGAGGTAGAAACACTCGCGCAAACTCCGCCCACATTTGTCTCCTGCGGCGTAAGCGGCAGGCGGTACATCTGCATGCTCAAGCCCTATTGGGCGGCTAACCGACAGGAGATCTTCCTACACCCGAATATCTCCGACCAACCGTCGATGGGTTGACAGCTCTGTTTATCGGTGAAAAGTTGTTGTTGCGGTTTTTATCAGCTGCCGCACGCTGGTTGTTCTATAATAGCCATCCTGCAACTGGCCTGGCCTGCCGGAGCTGATGGTAACGCGGCGTGAGGTGCCTTGTACGAAACTGTAAACACTCGCTGAGTTTAGTGTTCAGACAGACTGTTCTGCTCAGTCGCACCTACTGGTCGCATCCCAGGGGCGGCCCGGAACTAGCTTAGAAAACATATACTTGTCGCAGTTCGTAAAGCTACCGCTGTTTCCTTCAGCATCACCACCACCACCACCATCATCATCTACGACAACAGCGAACAGCAACCAGCTTCAACGTTTGAGCAAGACAAACTTGTGTGTAGTAGGCGGACACCAAAATGGCGTATGTGTTATTTTAGAACTAATTTCCGACACTCGAGGCCCGTAAACGGACTATTTTTATCGGAGAATTAATAACTTCAGTTCTAACCACATCGATTGAAGATCTACTGTTTGCCATGTGTGTTGTTTAGCGTGAGTAGTCTATTTCTACCTGTGCATTTTCTAGCGAAATTCATAGTTCGCTCACTTGACCGGCGTAGTCAATCAGGTTATCGTCAACGACGCCGATCCCTCCTGATTGCTTGGTCTCGTGAGTCGTGTGCCCGTTTTCCGACCCGAGTGTCTGGGGAAGCTCACGGAAGTTAAAACGACACTGGGTGTAAGCGTTACCTGTAACCATTTTGAGATTACAGTAGCATATTTTATTTACCTGACTATTCGTGGTCAATCGACGCCCCAGTCGTTCTATTGTGTGCAATCCCGTTCTATCGTGTACAATCCCGTTCTATTGTGTGCAATCCCGTTCTATCGTGTACAGTCCCGTTCTATCGTGTGCAATCCCGTTCTATTGTGTGCAATCCCGTTCTAT